GTTCATTCATAGGCTCACATTTTTTTACACCTGGAACACTGTACATAAATTACTTCTTTAACTAAAGAATACACCTTTCAGACTCAGCAATACATTTTGAATAATTTCCATTAATCTATTCTGCACAATTTCTGTACTCACACATTCAGCTATGCTGCAAGAAGGCTGTATCTGTCATACTTTCTAGCTTTGAAGAGAACCATTTAAGTTATCTCAAGCACTTTGCACTATTTTTTAGACAGAATAAACATTCATCTGAAATCACAATAATTGTAAAACAACTGTGCACCATAAATTAGACAAGAAAAGATACTTGGATTAATATCAAGCAAAAAGAACAGTTCTAACAGCAGATTATCTTGTTGGGAAAAAAGTCCCAAACCCAAACTGCATAATTTAAACTACAGAAATCACTCACTCTCTTAGCCAGAAGGGAATCTCCAGACGTTAAAATTAAATAAATAGTCACGTAAAGTAAAAATGTCAACATAAAAATATAGAAAATAAAAAGATAAAAATATCTAGGTTTATATTTCAATAAAACAAAAAGCAATACAGAAGAATGTAGTAAATAAAATAGTGGGTACAGGAACATGTAAAAATGTCTAATCCCCACAGAGCTGAATGAAGCATCCCTTTCTCTGAAGAACACTCTTTATCAGGAGGGTGTTTGATGGAGAAGGAAGAGGCAATTGAAGCTAGGAAATGATGGATAGCAATGACCTTTCTATCTGTAAAACATGGGCATATTTTAGGTATTTAATCTTGAGAATTTGATTATTATTAATCAATTATTCATGACAATTTGAATCTATGGTAGCTGTTTTTTGTTTTCTTAAATATCACATAGCTAAGGTCCTGCTTGAGAACTGGAAAGGAGATTAAATCCTCACAAGCAAATAGTGTTCAAGACTGGCATTTTCTTCCCTCCTAAACATTCCTTCCCCTGCATAACAGCATACATTGATGATAACCTAGTACCCTCTGTAAAAATTCTGCCTAAATATTCTGAAATCCACCCTTATAGCCTTTTTTTAGGAGGAAAAAAAAATCCCCAACCTTTCCTAAAGAACAAAGCGGGGCATTGTGGTAATGTGGAGCAGCGAAGACTCCTGTGGCTTCACTCCTATAGCCACAGGTTACCCTGCTGCATGTTTTAATATCCACTCTTCCTCACTTGACAAAGGTGAGTGATAACAGAAGCAGAACATCTCCATTCACAGGCCACCAGATCGTACAATGAAAATAAAGCAGAAAGTGTTTGCAGATATTTAAAATGCACTGCTGAAGAAGAAGGAAAAGCAGATAGAGCTACTCTAAGGCTAACTCTTTTCAAAAGCAGAACCTCTACAGCCTGAAATGAAATACAAACTATGTGTGTGTCTGTGAAGGGAAAGGAATAGGTCTCATTGCCTTGAAGAATACCTGAGCTGAAAAACATACAGGTCATCCCAATTTGGGGGAACCACTATGGAAAAGAGACTCTCCCTTACTCAGGTTCTAAAATTGAAGGATATAGGTAGCAATGGCCATCTTGTGAAGAATAAAGCCAGTTTAACACACCTAAAAACACCAAATATTTGGCAGTTCTTCCTGTTCTCAAATACTCTGTTAAAAATGTACACCTTATTTCTAGTCTAACTGAACTTCCACACTTCCATCTAGTTCTCCCTTTGTCTGATACAGTTGAAGAACTGTCTTACCAAATTTCTGTTCGTTGTGGTATCGTGCTTCTTGGGAACCAGGCAAGCCCCTCTCTACACCCCCTTGTTAACACTAACCAGACTGAATTCCAGTTTTTCCACAATAAGGCATGTTTTCAACTACTCCAGTCATTCCTGAGATACTTGTGGTTCTCCCCTGACCCTTCTCCAACTGAACGCACTGTTCCAGTAACAAGTTATGCAAGTGCATTAAGAATTAATGCACCACAGAAAGGTAATATAACCATTTTCTTCTTATTTAGCTCTTCCCTGTTTATATGTCAGTATACAGTAACCTTTTGACTCTCAACCTCTCTTCAGAAACGATTAATTCCTCGGTTGAAGCTTCCCATTTACCCAGGTTATTATGAACGTTTTCATTCAGGGGGAGAAGGGATGCTCCAAAAGAGGTGTGGAAAGGGCTAATCTGGGGGAAATCTCATCATCTAGAGATTAAAAAAAGGGGGCTGGAGAAAAGGGCTGCAAAGGCAGGGCAAGGTGAACTGAAAATGTTTTACTGTGGAAAATGGGGCAGCATTTTAGTTTATTGATGTTGCCTGGTAAACTGAGTTCACAAGTGCAAATGAGAAATCATACACAATGAAGTCATTACAGAGTCTCTAACACTGGACTTTGTTGTTGCTGTGCCAATAAAACTGACTGATTAATCTACTTCCATATAACAGCAGGATAAAACAGTTGTAAACAAGGAAAACCTTGGAAATTAAACGTTGGAAACATTTATAAAGTGAAAACTAAGGCTAACACAAATGGAGTATGTATCAGTTGTGGGGGTGGAAAATAATCTGTATGGGAAAAAAAGAAACTGAATCATTAGGAGAGTGGTGAAGCATTGTTAATACCTGAGAAAATGGAAGTATGCCCTGTTTAAAACAATTTAATGAAACAGTTTTAAAATAGACCGTAATGATCAAAACATTGTTTATTTCTAACCTGAAGCTTCTTTCAATATGCAATATTCTGCAAACTTTAGCCTAGTAGGGTAATAGATCTGGTTGAATCACAGCTATTCTCAGCTACAATACTTTATTTAACATGAAATTTATTATTTAACATGAAATACCTAAGTAATGTTTGTGAGAAACAAGCCTCTCTTTGCTCTATTTGTTCTACTTTTCAAACTTTAGTTACTAGGTAGATCAAGTTGTAAAACTTCTGCAAACTACAAGAAGTACCAGTAACTGAGACAATTTTTCTTCAATTTTTTTAAGTAGAACAGGCTTCCCTACTCATAGCCACAGCCCCAAAAGAAAGAAGAAAAAGAAGTTGCTTTCATTTCATCATTTTTGTTTCTTCCATCTAGAAGACTTTAATATTAAATGATAAAAAAAATCATGAATTTGAAACAAAGTGAGGGTTGCATCACAGCAGCTACTCAAATGTCTCATAATAAAGCCTCTACAGCACAAAACTCAATTATTAAGACTCGGAGTTTTAGAAATTTCCAACTTTCACCTAAACTTGATTTTCACAAAGTCAAAGGTAAAACTACTAGTGACTCCAGGAGGAGCACAGTTATGCACAGTGGAGCAGTACATTATACCTTTGAATTTTATCCTATCTTTGTCCTTTTTCCTGTTACTTTTTTTAATTCATCAGCAGATAGATAACCCTCCCATCACAGAGACATATAACTTTCAAGTCACTTTACCAGGGACTTGCACAATCTGCTGCAATTTCTACTATACCTTGAAAAAAATTGTCTTTTCTTCTCCTACTTCCAGTGCAGCCACTACAGCATGTCCTTGCAGCGGACAGATTAGAGGAAGCACAGCACCACCCTACTGTCCTTGGTCCTTTCCTCCATAGTTCAGGCATGCGGGTAACTGCTATGAAATAAATACGCTTTCCCACAGGGCTGGGAATAAGGAAGCCTCTAGGAAGAGGGGATGAGAAGGAAGCCACTCCAAAAGCAACAGATACCATACGCACCTTCCTACGTCCTCAACACAAGCACAAACCAATTGCTTGTCCAGGGACTTTTAGGTCTAAAATAATAATCTTTTGGGATTAAGTAAACTCTCAAGCTGTGCAGGACAATTTTCCTTCCTTACAGCCCTTTAAGAATTATTTTTAAATTGTCAGATAAATATCTGACATGCTAAATTCAAGTTTCCTGTAAAGGATCTAGATAACTATTCAACACATTAAGGGTATAAGTGTTTACTGGGATTCATTATGTAGAAAAAAGGATTAACGAAGATTTGAAAATAACATCAAAGGCTAACATGAAGTTCAGGAGAAGTTGATTGCATAGCTAAGATTTAAAAAAAACCCACCACCCAACAAAGCAAAAACCCAGTAAAAAGAAACAAAATAACTCCAGAGAAAATCAACAGCAGGTTCAGAAATATTAATTTACCCCACTGTGTATTGTGTAGTATAGTATATGTGCAGTGTAAAGACAGACTGACCCTGAAATGTGCGGTCAGACAAAGATCTCAGAGAGCTGGAGCAGCACTCAGCATTCAGACCATTTGCTTTTTGAATACACCCTATAATTAGAGAACAGTTTCTCATGCTGCCCCTCCCTTGAGCAGCTAACATTCGAGCATTCACAGAATTTTCAAGTAGTATTAGCAGTTGACAGAAATATTTTCACCTCAGGAGGGTGCAGCTGTAGATGATCTTTTGGACAGCATATGGTCTTCAGTTCAAGACAGGAAAACGCACACCTTTTTATGTTTTAAAGCATCCAAGACATACACTAGGAATGTGGACTTGTAAAAACCAATTAAAAAACACCCCAGTTCCACAGCATAGGTCTAAAACCTTGTCTTACAGCACTCTTCTAGTTTTGAAAAGAATAATTACTTCAGGATTCAAAACTCTTTATAAACTTACACCTGATCCGTACTCAGTGCATCTGGAAGCAACTGCTCTTAGCACAGTTTACTCTGCCACTTCAATGCATAACCCGAGAAATCAAGGGCGATGACACAGCTGCATACCAGCACAGTTGCATACTGCAGCTCATGTGCCTACTAAATATACAGACCCCGGTATGAATGATAAGAGAAGAATATAACATTAAGGCTTTAAAACGTAGATGCTACAGAGGTCTCTATTACACCGCACCGCTCAAATCGCACCTCCCTCGGAACTCGTCGCTTACGCATGCTGACAGGAGTCACTCTGGGAAATAAATTTGGTAGAGAAGCATGATAGTTGCAACACAATTGCATCTGACACACATTTAACTGAGTCAACAGGCAGTATCCCGTTACAGTGCGAGAGCAAGCCTAAATGGCAGCGATTTGTTCTGGAAATACTTACTTCTGATGAGGTCACCATCAGCGCGATTTCCCCAGACGGACTGGTCTTGTATCTCTGGTTGTATACTTTGGTTACTGGAAGGCTGTTTTATGTCTTTATCTCCTGACGCAGTATTCTCTTGGTCAGTTTTTTCTAAGTAAAAAGAAATACTAAGATATTAGTTTCTGTGATATTTTTCCTCTATGTGAACAAAGCTTGTCTTTGAAAACTAAAACCAAGAGGGCATAAAATATAACTTGTCTTAGCGTCTCATGTAGTTTCCTTAGAAATAATTCCTAATAAAGTTGATTTTCAATTTGTTTTCTTGTCCAGATCAAAATAATTCTCCTTTAAAAAAGTCTTTTATTCATATTATGTTTAATCATGTAAAATAATACTCATAGTTGTAACATGTTATAGTTGAGTTTTTATATATTTAAGTTACCTTCCACAAAATTTTTGGATAAAAATTTGAATCACTTTGTCACACACAAAAAACATTATTTTTTGCCCACATACATGCATCTCTGGCATATAAAAGCCACAAAAATTCCACAGAAATCTGTTCTCTATTATTTAGAATTCAACATATAATTAAAGACAAATATTGTTGAAACTTCAAAACTCGTTAGTACAGAAATGCAGAAAATTTCTTGTAATACAATTACCTATTTTTCATTTTAAAAATAGCCTTTTAAAAGCCATTCCTGAATAAAAGTCAACGTTTAGCCTATGATGAAAGGAAAAATTATTTCTTCTCTCCCAGTATATACAAGATGCAGGGAAATTTCCATGGTAAGGTTATTTCACGGATTCTTAAGCTTATTTCACAAGATAGCAGATCTTGTTTTGATGATTTTGCCAGTTAACACATGCAGACCTGCATTTTCTCAAACCAAGGTGACAGCTTTCATTTTCACTGTCATTAATGTTTTTAATAGACAAACTCATACACAGAAATCTTTCCGTTCTTGATTGCTACAGGTTTTTCCTACTGGCATTCAAGGAAACATTTCCAAATCTGGAATTACTTTGTTCATTATTCGCAGTGACAGATTATCAGTTTATATCACTTACTCAAGGGATCTGTAAAAGACTAAATATTTTCAGGCTCAAGTATTTTTTGAGTATACGTACAACATTTAATATTTACAGTAAGTCTAAATGAGCAACTGGTTGAAAAGTCTGTTAGCTCTATTTATTTATTTCAAACAAGTATGTGTTTATAAACCACTTATCACAATGTAATGATACCATATCCTCTAGTAAAGCAATGATTCCAGTCCCGAGACACAGAAAAATCACTTATTGCTACCGTGACATATTAAAGGTTAGTTTCTTTATGTAACCAACAGCAGTTTGATTTTAAATCCTAACTTTCTGACTTTGTTATCCACCCTATTAAACTGAGGCACTGAACATCACTCAAAATAATATATGCCGTATTGTATGTATAGTAGCATGTGCCTTCAAGCACTGCTGCTCCCCTTCTATTAATTTCCACCTCTGAAATGTCTGAGCCAGCTACCTCCGTGGTACTTCTCTCTCGGTCCTCTCTCTCATCACCATTTCTTCAACAACTTGTCAATATTTCCTCAAGCCCATCCTGAAATGAACCGTTTCACTGGGATTGGCATAAAATTACTGCAGTGATTGGGAAGATATCTGTTGACTTCAATGAGTTTTGCATCTTGCCCTGATGACTTAACCTCACCTAGATACCCGTTTTTGTTTCAGATTTTTTCAATCCCCCTGACAGACATTAGATACAAATTATTTCTATCTGGTTATCTATCAGATACAAATCCAACTGCATTGAAGTATGATGACTTTGCCTGTGCAGTTAGATATTAGGTGCAAATTTGTTTCAAAAATATTTGAAAAATGTCCTGAAGTAGGCTGAATGAAAGTAGTGTCCTGGAGAGAACTAGTGTAAAAGAAATGCAAGTCACTGTACACTCTGCTTTCCACAGAAGGTAAGCATAAATGAGCTATTTTAAGAGATTTTGGTCTTAAAATTACTTTACTGCAGTAACACCACCAAGATTACAACAATATCTACCTGGCAGTGGTAGTACAAAACTGCAGAGTTATTGTACAGAATTTTCTTGTATAGGATACAACTTTGCAGAGCCTATTTAATGTAGTAAAAATGTATATTAACATTAATGTTTCCTCAGAGCCCTCTGTTCTAGATTACATTTTTATCTAAGAAATATGAGGGAATGCAGAATACAATGTCGTCATTATTCACAGGGATTTAGTTTTCATTCCTCTGCTTGTTTTCAGTTCAGTATCTTTGTCTCTCTTTTTTTTTAAACTATGTAGGTTGTATGTGCATTTTTCATGTTTACTTTTATTATTATAGCTGGATATGGTAATCAGCCAGTCAAAAACATGTAAATTATATCAACAGTTAACAAGAAAGAAGAGGCACTATTAAACAGTAAAAAAACCCCACAATGTTCCAATTTAACACCAAACAATTTTGATAGGAAGTTTACAACAATTAACATTAATTGAGTATCTGTTCTTTGATATATTGAATTCACATGAAGACTTTCCCATGAATGTGCGTAACAGAAACCTACACCATCGAACACGTATTTGGTATCTTACTTCACACTCCCGAATTTCCCATGGGAGCATGCTGCTCTGTGGGTGTGCCAGGTTGACCCCCAGCTGCAGCCAAGGACCACATGGCCGCTCCTTCCCTCCCCAGTGGGACAAAGGGAGCGAACAGAGAGAGCACAAGTGAGGAAACTTGTGGGTCAAGACATAGTTTAATAAGTGAAGGAACGAGGAAGAAAAAATAAAACAAGAGATGCAAAGACACTCAATCACTCGCCACCTCCCACAAGCAGACCAATGTCCAGCTAGTCTCCAGGCAATGGCTATCGCCCCCAAAACCTCCTCCCCTCAATTTTTATTGCTCAGCGTGACGTTACATGGCATGGAATATCCCTCTGGTCAGTCTGGGCCAGCTGTCCAGCTTGTGTCCCCTCCTAAACCCTTGCCCACCCCCAGCCCACTTGCTGGGGGCAGCGGGCAGAGTGGGAAAAGAGAAGACCTTGACGCTGTGCAAGTGCTGCCCAGCAACAGCCAAACCACTGGTGTGCTATCAACCTTGTTTCAGTCACAAATCCCAAACACAGCACCACAGGGGCGGCCATGAAGAAAATTAACTCCATCCCAGCCAGACTTAGGATAATGGGGCTTTAGAAAAAGTAGACCTTAAGTTATGTTTAAGATTTTTTCATACATTCCTTCTGATGTATCAGAACACTGAAAATGGACAAACACTGCTGTCATGATTAATTTGTTTTTTCTTGAAAGTGCACCAGGTCTCATTTTTACTACAAAGGAATTTCTTGATTATTGCCTTATAATAAACAGCTGATGATGGGATCATAACTTTTTTTTTTAAATTCTAGATGTGCAGCTACAACATACCAACTACAACCAATCACACATGAAAATAGCCTCAAGAACACTCCTGAGTCTGTGGTTTGTTGATGTGTTACATGCGTAAGAAGAGTGATGAGTAGTTTATGACACATAATACATTTACAAGTCCAGTAAGAACCCATACAAAGACCTTAATCTTTCCTGATGTGCCATGCTTGTGGCAGAGCAGTTTTAATAAAGCTTACGGCTGGCACAAATACTAATGGCTGGATTTGGCCATAGATAGGCATGGCCTTTTTCTTCTGCATCTCTGAATAAATCTACAACAGTTCTCTGTTTTAACCAAGCTTAATCTTAAGAATTGTTATGTAATACTTCCTCAGTGTTATAGCTTCTGCTTCCTCTAGTACACCCTTCCACTCTCATGTGATTAACCTCCAAAACTGGCAGCCAAGAAGAAAAAGAGATGCTCTTCCTAACAGTTCAAATAATGGAAAGAAAAGACTCATTGTGTTCCGAGTCTGGCAGTGTTGAGGTAAAAATCCAATCTGTCTTTAAAACCATGGTAAGTTACTCTAGGTCATGTCACAAAAGCAAGATAGTCTTCTTTACCTACCACCGTTCACCCCCCAGACCAGCAAGCTGTGTGGCTATGTACCTCTCCTAAATGAATCCTGGGCTGAAAGAGCTTCTAGCCAAAAGCCCTGCAGGAGTGACACCCACACAGAGCACCCTGTGATTTATCCTGAAGGTAGGCATGGGCATAGATTCTACTTGTGTAGAGATTAGTGCAAGTTTAAGGTTTAAATAAGGAAGAGACACAACATGCTGGCCAAGTATAGAACTGAGATTGTTAACAGCCCCAGTCATATCTGTACTAAGACAACTGGTAAGCCGCTTACTGAAAAAATTTGAAATTTTAATCACAACTCAAAATTACTGTTTCATTAAATAAGTGAACAAAGTGAACTCCTATTTTTTTGGTTTTTTGTTATTTGGACTTATTAAAGTATATATAGATCACTTTTTTGTGATACGTTCATTTTACCATCATCTTGTTATATTTATTTTTAAAATTACACAACAATATATATATTTCATGAATGAAAACTTGTTTTCACCATTGAGACTATTGTACCATTGATTGTTAACACCTGTTTTAGTTTGGAGCATGTGCCTCTGATTACATATATTCCTTTGCACCATGACAAATATATTTTACAATACTCCACCAACAGAATAGTGTCAGCAGTCTGGGTCAGCAACAAGGCTACTATTACAATAGCCCTATCAAAAAGAAAATTTGACAAATAGTCAGAATTGTCAAGAAAGACATGTATAGATAGGTAAGAAGGATATACAAGGCAATCTCTCCAGATCCCTTCCAATCTTGTCTTCTATGCTTTTATAAAGTTCCTGGGATATAGGTCAAACTAATTCCTGAAAACTTCTTAGAACTTCCAGTGAAGTATCCTTCTTTTCAG